GTGTTAGGCAATGTTGTGGGTGCCCTGCCGCGGTGTGATAGATAACACGTTGGCATTTACAAAATTGCTGCCGTTTCGATATTTTCCCGGCACGACGGTTGAAACAATGGGCCAAGTTTATTCAATATCTTCTCCCTAACCACCAGTCCATATGCAGGTCGTGCATGGTTCGGGTAAAGTGTGGGTATTCCCACCTTGGTCAAGACGTACTGTGACCAGTGTGGAGTGAGTAGGCCCGCAAATAACCCTCCACAGCAGGGGCTCTTGGGAAATTTCCATTGCAGAAGTCATTCTGCTGCCCGGCAATGGTGCGGAGTGAGAAATTGCATGGCTTCCTCACACCTATGTAAAGCTATTTTACAGGATAGCTGGGAGGCAGAGTTTGAGGTCTGGAGTTTGTTTGATCCGTCAAATATAGATTGGTTAATTAATTCCTTCAGAACTGCTTGTTGTGTCGAGTTTGCTGCCCTTCCCCCGCACCTCCGATTAAACACGGTTGGCTACGTACGGTGCGAAAGAAATTCAACATACATACGTTACACGAATGGTCCCGTTTAGCCGGTTTCCCCGCTGTTTTACAAGGGAGATCCGTGATGCCGCGTGAGACTCCTTACCAAGCAGAGCAACAACGCTGAGGTGGCCATGCCCTGCTCTGATAGTCGTGCTGTGGCAATCCACACGGGGTGCCAGCACTGGTTAAATATCCTCGTTGAAGTGAAATGCCCTCCAATCCTTGCCAGATCTGGTACCCAAAACCTTGACACAAACAAGGCTGTTCGAAAATGAATGTTATACGATTGCTTTCTGCATCGGTGTCTTGACGAATAATTAATTGTATTAGGGGTGATTCTGTGCCCACGACTGAGACAATCCTTTTCTGATTGTTTTTACTTTGTGACACCTTGTGTGACCATAATTCTGAATTCCCTCAAATTGACCTCTTTGTTCACACAAGGGGAACATTTTTACACCGTGCAACATGTGTTTGTCACAAGTATGTCATTGAACCAACACTATTATTAATTTTCTGGATTAAGGCGAATGAGGTTGAATTAAAAAATTGTGCAGTCATTCGTTACTGGGCTGAGACGATTAACTCACTGTGCTTGAAACCCCAGTTTAATCATCGTTAGCAGTCTGTATTCAAATCCAGCATCTTACCAGTGTCAACTCAGGACTGATGTGTTGTTAACCATTTGAGTCATGTGGCCAGTCCATCCTTAAGGTAACCCTCACAATATACCCAACACGAATTCATAACCCCAACCCCAAGTTCCAACCCTTATAAAACCAATGCCAACCATAACCCTCATTAACGCTAACCATAAACTTAACATCAATCCTAACCCCCAACCCTAGCTACAACTCTAACTATAACCCTTTCCATAAGCTCTAACCCTATCCTCTAACCCTTAACTGTAACTCTTAAGCCTCACTTTAAATACACAACCCTGAACCAAAACATTTAACTCTAACAAACCTCTAACCCTAGCCTCTAACCCAATTCCAGGTTCTCAAAATGTAGCGAGTTGATCGCCTCAGGCCGCTGACCAACGACTGCACGAAAAAAGCATCGTTAAATTTAGCTCTTGATTTGGCCAAATTCGAGCTTGAGAATTGTGATAGTTCAGAATATCGTTCAATCGGCGATGGCGAGAATAAGCCACTGCTGGCGGAAAGGCCTCCGCTACATGCTCTATAAGTCCTAATTGTATTGCACTGCGATTTACAGTGTGCAGTATAAGAAAAAACCCACAAATGGCACAAACCCCCTTCATATATTGATTGCTTTTCCAGTATGCACAGCACGGTGAGTGAGTGCAGGGTCGCTCTGTGCACCAACAGTCCGAGTGTTTGCCACATAGCCAGTGCAATGGCAGTACTGTACAAATACAATATGATGTATCGAGCACGTATGTTGGATGGCATCTCAAAACGCTTTTCGGGACAGCAGAGAAGTGGTGGGCATTGCCATTGAAAGGACTCCCGTGCGGGCGCGGATTTCATGGCATCAAAAGCAGAAGCGGACCTCGAAACTTCAAGGGGTGTGGGGTGCAGTTAAGACATGTCAAGAGTTTTCAATAGGACCCTACATCAACAATTAGAATACGAAGTATGCCATACATAAAACATTTTTCGGGTGAATATACTATTTTTCGGAGTTAAGTGGGGCAGGCAGAGGGGTGGGGGGGGGGCTATCGCCCCCATTGGCTATGTACGGTGCAAAAGAATTTCAACATTGTGATCTTCCAGCCACTGGGCAAAAAGGTTAAAAAAAATTCAGCCTCCACTCCTGTCTCGGGATGATGTGACGTGTGAGACCAGTGGTGTAGGAGAATGGCTGGCATGGGTCCTGGTGCAAGGCTTGACAGGGAGAGGGGGCTGGGGGGGGCTGTGGGGGGCCCTCTGCCCAATTTCCCTACCTATTCGCAGCCTGGCACTTTGGCCCTTCCGGCCCGTGGGCATCCTCATTTGCACCGCCTGCACACTCGTTAGCCACGCCGCCGTGCAAAAATAATGACACTACAGTGTCCCTACATCATAATCCCTGTTCATGTCATGTGACATGCGGTCGTAAAATGTGCATGCAGATAAATTGTAAAAAAACATTACAAACGGGCCCTTATGCAATTGCAGTTTACCCATGTCTATTTATACAAAGGACTTTGAACTGAATTATGCAGTGGCACCTAATCTGCATCTGTCCCTGTGTGCATGCCTTGCCTGTCTGGCCGCTCAGTCATGAGCTACGGGAAGAAGAAAACGCATCCTTTGTCCGATTCGTTGCTGGATTCCAGCCGATGCGTTCAGCCTTGGACCCAGCTACAAAAACCCCGACTGTCCAAAAAAAATTGCCAGCGTGCGCCTCGACGGCGACACAGAGAGACGGCTTTCAATTGGAACACAATACAGTACTGCACTGTATTTGCAGATTTTGTTATTGGTGTCTTCCCATCCAAGCACCAACCCCAAAACTAACCGCTAACCCTACCCCAGCACTAACCACTAAACCCTAATGCTACCCCCAACACTAACTAGCTCTAACCTTACCCCAACGCCAACCACGAACCCTAAAGCTAAACCACTCGCCCTCATCTTAAACCTAACTGTATATTTCTGGATTAGGGCTTTTCTACGTCGTTCGGGTCACGATGGGTTGGAGGATGCGGAGAGCATAGAATTACAGTACAGATTATTTGATTTGCTACCCTGCCAACCATGTGGTGAACAAAGCCAGGGAAGGACAATCAAAAACAGACAAAAACAACATGTGCCACGTAGGCACTCCCTAGGAGGCCCTTTATGAATTATGCAGATATCAGGATGATTTAATTAGTGGCAAGGGTAATTAGCCAAGAGAGATGGAATGAAACACCAGCGTGTGAGTCATTCTCCAGGAATAGTGTTTGTGTTCGGGCTGGAGGTAGCATGGGGTTAGCTAGGTTTAGTATTAGGAAAAGGGTGTTGGCATCATGGATCCAACGAGTTTCATTGATGGTGTTAGCGAGAAGGATCTTGCTTTAGGGTACCATGCGGAATAGTGGTAAGGACTGGTGTTAGGGTTCAGTGTTAGGGATTAGGATAAGGCCACATTCTGGTGAGTACATTTCCGAAATCAATGTCAGGCGACAGTCTTAATCACCTGAATGACGCAAAGATTCAGATTAAAGCGGCGAACAGCGTTCACCAACAGGTTGCTAATAGGACTTGCAGCGCAACGTGGTTGGCAGCGTGTGGATAAAATATGCCTTACAAATGTACATTATTATTATTGTACTAATAATGTAAATACATCCTACACACTGGCGTCGGGATCCCCTCATCCAGCAGTGGACTGACCAGGGTGTGTGCGCGTACACGGACTAAACCACTCTAATCCCATCCCCACTATACATATATTAGAATCGGACTCGGGAAAACAGAGCAACACGGCGTTGCCTTGCAGCAAGATCCTGGGATTCGAGTCTCTGCTCAGCCGCCTCTGTGCGTCGTTTGTTCTTCCCCGTGTTTTGGATGGGTTTCCTCCCATAGCTTAACAATAAAGAATAAATCCAATGTAACTAGAATTGGCCAAATATCCCAATGCTGAGAAATTACCTGCAAATTGCTCGATTGGGGCGACACATGGCAGCATCGTCCAAACTACGAAAACTTGACACGATCCTCCTGAAAATGAGTCTTGAGACTCGGCGAGGCTTTCCTGGGTAAACAAGCGGTGGAAAAAATATCCGCACGGCGGCACAGGCGTGGAAAAACTACTATGAAAGAGGTGACGTTTCAGGGAATGGCCCTTCATGGCAGCGACAGGTTACCGGCACGCATTGCATAACATCCCCTGGACAAGACGTGTCCTCCATACAGAATTTAACATCCACAGAAGATCCTCTAGAGCAGACACGTTCACGCGACAAGTCCACCACACGGTCCACAAAATGCAGCACATAGGTTGCCCAGCGCGGAGGGTGATGACAACTCACGGACCTCTCTGCATACATCTCAAGCGCAGATCTCCTGTCTACACATCTCCACAGATGCCCTGCCGGCACAGATCTCTTCTGCACAGATCTCCAGAGCCCTTGCACAGATCACCCCATAACTCAAGACAGGTCTCCCGGAATCATCTCCCCTGCGCAAGTCTCCTGCCTCTACAGATCCCCACAGATCTCTCGCACGGATCTCCACATTTCTCCTGCAGATATCCTCATATCTCTCGCACACAAATTCCGCACGGGTCTCCTTACACGGATCGTTTCTCGCATCTCCTGGGACTTCTCACACAGATAAGAATGCTTATTTTTACTGGAGGAATCCGATGAGCTACAAAGCTCTTTCCACAGATGTCCTGGCTGCTGCCACAGATCTCAGAGGGCTTCAAGCACCTCCTCAACCTGCACGGGGATCTCGGCGGCCAGAGCAGCGATAACCCTCCGAACACGGGACGAGATATCCGCGGCCAGGGCACCTCGATGCGGAACGGCCCCAGTTTCTCGCGTCCTCACCGTGGGGCCAGGAGGTCGGCTTCATCGTGAAGGCAATGCAGCAGCAGCTCCGCGTGTTAAACGTGGCTCTCGGCATCCTCCCATCGCGGCTCCACACACACACACGAGCACGCGCGCGCGCACACACACACGCGACAGCAAGCAGCAGCAGAAACGCCGCCGCCTCGCCCACGCCGCATTAGAATTCAGCTCGGAGTCTGCCTCCTCCGTCATGAGGGAGGAGGCAGAGGGGTGAGGAGGGAGGGAAAGTGGGAGGAGAGGGGTAAGGCGAGGGAGGGAGATGGGGGAGAGCGAGCGGAGGGAAGGGGAAGTGGAAGAGAGGGGAGACGGCGCGGAGGATGGGGTGATAGAAGCCGAGTACTTGAAGGGAGATGATGGGGTGACCAGGGAGATGGAGATATGTGATGTTGATTAGTGAAGACGAGGGAGAGGACGATGAAGATGATCCGATGGGCGATTACAAGGGAGGAAACCGCAGAACCCAGGAGGAAAATAATGCAGAAGAAACTCCACATCCAACAAGGAGCCCGAGTCGAGACTCGAACCCAGAACCTTCTTGCTTTGAGGCGCGCGAGTGTCACTCACTGCGCCGCCGACTATAATTTGCGCGCTTAGTTTTTCTTAAATACTTTATTTCCCGACAAAATAATTACGAACCTCAATTAACGCTGCACATTAGCATCGGTATAATAATGTGGGTCGCGTCATCATGTTTGTAGTCCAGTCGGTTCGTGAGTAGAGCCACGATAGTTTAATTTTGGAACGATGTGGAAATGGAGTATCCGTCACGTAGAGTCTCAACTTAAAAAAAAAATACAAAGATCAGCCGTGTAGCCTTAACAGACTGCTGTGGCAAGTGCCGTTAGCGAGCACCTCTGAAGGCCGGCACGGACGTTAAACCGATTTTGTACCATATGTAGCCAACCGTGCTAATCGGAGGTGCACGGGGTTGAGGAGCCAGCACCACGCCCGATCACCTTTGCCTCCCTAGCAGCGATGTTTACACACAGCACCAGGTACTCGCTTGAGGCCGAGTCAACCTGGTAGGCCCATGACCGGTTCAGATATTCGTCACCAGGTGTTGGTCAGCCGTGAGCAAGAATCGAATTTGGGTGGCCGGGTTCGTAGTGCAGAACGCCGACGGCAATTATTCAGACACGTGAATTGCAAGCCCAGGAAAATGTTCAGCTCGGACTACAATCGGTCTAATACGATCACGATGCGTGCAACGGAATGGAAATTTCGATCGGGTGACGATACAAAGGATGGCCATCGAGCTGGAGTGGAGGCAACTTCAACGCGAATATTTTGAAAAAGATTCAACTCCCAAACAATTTTAGAGATTTCGTGCATTTTCCTTCTTTGCCAAATGCCTCATCATTGCACGGTAGTCTTCAATAACCGTGCATTACAAGGGGCAATATATAGCAGGTGACGTTTTGGGCAATGCCTCTGCTTCATAACGAGACCAGCCAGCGGGCACGAGTTAACATTCAATACTTATTAGGTCCCACGGTGTAAAGTGCAATCAACTCGTATCCACCATGTACATCTTTAAAACCTCTTCGTGTCTAAAGGACAACTGGCCATCTGAAACATCGCCCGTTAGTTTTCCTTTGAAGGCCACGCGGTGTGTCGACAGGGAACGTGTCGTGTGTTAATCTTCTTGGGCACAACTGCCTACGCAGCGCCAAAGTTTCATTGTCATGCCGTCGGCTGCTCAGATTCTTCCCCCCAAACTTCTGCGACTATCCCAATCATCCTTTTCCATCTCCCCCTCTAATAACTCTGTTCTGGACCGGTGGCATCTCCTTAGCTCCCTGTAAAGCTGCGGGGTGTACATCTGTGCGTGGGTCTCATCTCCAAAAGAAATTTGTCTATTAAGGCGTAAACAAACCATGTACGTTTTATAGCCCTTACCTGCTCGAGAACGTTTGTAATCTGCTAGGGCACCAACTTTATTCCGTTTTCCCCATAGTCCCAAAACCGATCTCATGAACTTCAGTCAGCCGTTACAGCGCCACCAAGCGGGAATAGCAGACGCTTACATGCAACATTGGTTAATAATGTTCAAGTCCGTTCTATTGAACTAGGTGAATACTTCAGGGCCCAGGACGAGTCAATAGAGAGAAAAAGGAACCTGGGTTAAGGCGACAAAAGAATTGACGTAAAAACAAATCACAACAGATCGACGTTTCGGGCGCAACACAAGCGTCCGTCAGGTGGGAAAGCTTTCCCACCTTAATGACCGACGCTAGTGTTGCGCCCGAAACGTCGTGATTTATTTTTATACCTACGTGACTTTACCGAAAGATCCAAAGAGTGATTCCTGCAGTCACGAAAGCTTGGAAAAAAATCAAGATTAAAGCACAATGCAAGTATATAGGGCGAATTTGCTGCATTAGACAATAAGTGCATTAACACAAATCACTATTCAATTCACTTCCTGTATCGGTGTCAGTCCTTTGCATCCTGCTGCATGCCCGTGTTTAATTTCTACGAGCATCTTCTGCCACACCTGCGTAAGCTACCCTTGCCAGCAAAAAGTATGGTCGCACGCATAAATTAAAACGGATGGGGGAGAAACGGGCAATCCTCCCAATCAAGGCGTGGCACAGCCCAATCACCACGTGATCTGCTCGTCCATACCTGGACACCCGGCCACACAGGTCCTCAAATGACGAAGCGTTGTACCGACCCTGCTCAATGCAGTTTACAAACTACATGCCTGGAACATTTTTTGTAAGCGCTCAGACTAACCAAAGCGTATGGCACAGAGCGGTCGAAACAAAGACAGATGTACACCTTAGCGGTGCCCCTTCAAAGCATCCATGTTAAAAATGGCATCTTTACTTTTCCCAAGCAACAGGCATGCAAGGTGATATTCTATAAAAAAAAAATAAGCACCATTATAGCCAGGACTTATGAATCCATGCTTTATTCCATCACGTGAACACGTTAAACATCTGCATCACTTAGCCAGCATTTTCTTTGAAGCAAAGCAAGACCACGAAAACGTTGGAAGACATCGCTGCGATGGTCACCACAATAGGGCAAAGTTCGGGATTTCTGCTGTAAAGAGGTAATAGATGGGGGCAACATTGGGAAAGGCAATGTCATCGAAAAAACATTTTGCAATTTGGAATTGTGGTCAAGCATCTGAAGACACATTTAACAGCCCAAACAAGTCAATTATGAAATTATATTAGATATGGAAATCACCATGAACGAAATTGCAAACATACAGCACGATAGGGAAGCATCCTTCCTGTAGATAAAGCGTCCTCTGGTGACGATGGAGACTGGGGTATCCACAGTCTCCAAGCTGCTCCACTTCCTGGCCAGACATCCTTGCTGGTAGCAAGAAGCAGCCAAAGAAGCCTTGCAAGCTTTCACTGCAGCATGGACGTAAACCTGCAGAGAACGGAGGGGAGAATGAACGGTGGTTTATTGCAGCGAGCAATCTACCAATCCATTACGGCCGCACAGCAAAAGTGCTGCCAACAGCAACACCCTACAGTTGATCAGATAATTTTCAGCATGGTGGAATATCGAGCTCACATTAGGCATCTTGAGCAGTGAAGGCAAAGGCTGGGAAGATCAAGTGGCGGGCAGCAGTGGTGACGGTGCTGTCACACAGACAGCTACAGAAAGAAGGGACAGATTAAAACAGGTGGTAGGCTCCAGTACATTTAAGCCAGTATCAAGCACAATAACAGAAAATTGACACCCTTCTTTCACGAGATCGTATTTCCGCGGATCAAGGGGGTTATTGGTGGGCATCGCATGGAGGTCGACGGTGAACAGGGCACGGCCAAGGCCGGTCTTGAGGGACATCTGGAGATAGAGGGTTTGACGCAGCTGCACCACTAGGGGGTAGTCGGTGGGCAGGTATGGTGCCAGGAACGTAAAGCTTTTGTAGAAGTCCATCTTCAGTTCCAGTGCAGCATAGACAGTCTGGTTGAGCACAACCTTTGTGTTGTTGGGCTGGAGCGCTGAAGAGGTCAAGAGCCTCGTCCTCGGAATCTTGCAGCAAAATCGCAAGTCAATAAAAATACAAGGACAAGAGCATCTATGCCTAGTCTGAAGAAACGAAACACGAATCAGCATTATGGCAACAGGATAGCACAATCAGGAGATTTTATTTTTAGGTTCAGCCACCACCTGACATGACCAAACAATTAAATCTGGTTTCTGCTCAGCAGTAAGTTAGCAAACCAATTGACAAATTAAGCTTTTAGATAGGACCTTTCATTTGAAGCCATGTCAATCAGGAAAAGGACCAGGAAGTCGAGGGGAGTGTTGGAATAACTGGCTTGGTGAGCTCGTGGAATAGCAGTAATACATTAAAGACTGCGAGAATCTATGTGCGAAGCACGAATTCTGTTGACATACATTGACCATGATGTACACGAAGTCGTAGGTGATGATGCCGAACGTAGTACTGGGCAGCGAAATCGTTTGAGAGAAGACGAGGTCTGTGCTCTTTTCCTATGGGGGGGGAAGATACAAGGCACATTAGAGAGTTGTTTTTGAAAAAGCAGGCAGTTAGGATAAAGCACTTTTTTCTATCAAGATTAATATTGGAGGCCTCAACGAATGTGCTGCATTCTTCGAGCGAGATGTACGTCCCAGTTTCTGCCAATTTGCATGCAGGGGTTGTAGAGTTTATGACGATAATCAGAAGCACTGTAGCCTAGCAGGATGCTTTTCGCGATCTTCGCAGGCATCCTCTCATTGATGCATTCCACCACGTAGGTGACACCTGTAAAGAAGTTCAATGAGACCCACGGACATCGTTCATTAAATTTAGCACCACACAGTGATATGCAGTGTCTAATTATGGCATACACGCGAGGAAGAGCCCAATACATTTGTAAAATGAGAAACCCCTACAATTGTGCAGGTCAGAATTAATGCCACGAAATGTGTTGCATATTGACCAAATTTTGCCCTTTGAACTGGTGCTCCATGTAAAAGCAGAAGGGTGTGAATATTGTAAACTTTGTATATTTAACCTTTCCAATGCAAAATATTTCTATGTAGTGCAGAAGATGCGTTTGTGCCCTTTTCAGAACTGTTCCAATATTACAAATATAAATTCCAATGTAATGCCTGTTTGGACCACTAGCACTAAAACTACAAATCTGCAATATGATAGTTAAACCAGTGCATATTCTTTGGGGTCTTTCGGTAAAGCAACATAGGAAAAATAATAAAATATATCACGTTTAAATCACAACCACAAGCAATCGTC